TATATATATATATATATATATATATATATGTAAGAATATAATGAGAAGATCTTGTGTGGGACAGACGGTATATATATAACTTTTGTGGTATATTATTCCGTCACCCAACGTGGACAATGGGTCCAAGTGTTTGCTTATTAAAGAAGTATCAACACTTTCCACTACTGTAAATTGTAAATTGCCATAGCCACCACCACCACCACATCCACAAGAATCTAATAAGTTTACAGTACTCTCTTTCTCTCTCGTCAACTCACTCACGTAAAGAAGAAAGTATGCGTAATTATAGTGTGGTATTGAAGTACGGTTACATGGTATATGTTTAACGTTGATTTGAATCAAAGTTTTGTTCGTTAGTTTTTGTTTCTAAATTAGAGGTAGAATAAAACTTGTGTGATCGATGTATAGTGAAGGCAGGAGCAGGGCCACTTTAAGGGCATTGTGCAGTGTTTAGTCATTCAAATAGAAAAAGGAAAGTTATGCGTATTGCACTGAATCTCAGTTTGCTTGCTTTATAAGACCAAAAATCAACCTAGCTGTGTAGCGTAGATGCTGGCTGCTTTGCTCATTCACTCACTCACTCACTCACTCTGCTCAAAAATAGTGTTTTTGTTTCGTTTGCTGCCATTTGCCACGAATTATTACATCGCTTTTAATCTCCCATCAGCATGGACACGTGACTGGCCCCATTTCCTTGTCCAATTGTCTCTGAACACATTTTCTAGTCAAGTCAAAACCCTAGATATTTAAGTTCGGCCTCCCAATTTCCACATTGCCTGATTGCTTCCCACTCTCGACCCAAATGATTTTGGGCTATTTTGAGCCGACCCAAGATTGAGTTCAGGCTCGGTAGTATAAGTATGTGAGTGGCCCAATAAGAACTTTACTGGTGCAATTTGGAAGAAAAACTTGATCAGTACAGTATGGTATGGCCATGCATGTGAGCAGAGCATCTTTACACTGCTAATACACGTGTGTATGTATATATATATACTACCAGTCTGCAATCTGCAGTGTATGCATGTTGAATGCTGACAAGAGCTTAGTTATTGAAATGAAATTAGATTGGCACCAGCCTGTCCCAGGACAACCACTTTGCTGTGCTGGTAGAGTAGCTAGCTCCGACTCACAATATCATTATAAACACCAAATTGATAGAAATTAATTAAATTAAAAAACACTCAAGCCACAGAGAGAGAGAGAGAGAGAGGGAGATTAGGTGACGAAGATCAAATCAGAAATTGAAAGCTATTTAATGCAGAGTGCCTTTACGCATGGTGTGGGGGCAAAGTCCTTTACGTATGAACTAGGACCATCCAGTTTCAAATTTCATCTCTATTTGCCTTGGATCTGCACACAGTACTAGGAAATTAAATAAGGGGGGTCACCTCCTTCCTTTCCTTCCTTGTGTTTTCTTTTATTCTTTTTTATTTTTTTATGATTTTTTTGTAGTGAAATATGATCATGTATTTGGATTGTCAACATTATCTTATCCTCGTAAGTGGTAATAAGAAATTAATTATGTACGGAAAAAGAAGAAGAAATTATTTAGCTTTTACCAACGGCTCTAATCATGCACTATAATATATGCCTGCTTTTCTTTCTTTCGTTTTTAGTTATGCAAAGATATATACATATATGCCTTAAGTACTTCATGATAGCAGCATGTTTGGACCCAATGATATACTTGGTCTGCCACGCTGCCCGTGCTAGCTATAGCTTTGTACCTGAACAGTGGCGAATGTCAATGGTGGCAGTGCCCGGGGCGGTAACGTGGAAGCCCCGCCACGAAGCCGCTGCTGTCGTTGGTGGCTGTGCCGTGGTTGTAGTTCAATAGAATACAATAAACATCAGCATTTTAGGTACGACTTGCAATATACTAGGACTCGGTTTCATAACTATCACACTACATACAATAAATAATGTTTAAAATGTAATAGTAAACAATGATTTTTTAATAATAAAAATCTCAGATTTGCATTATTATTTTTGGGGTGAAGTGAAAGCTAACTAAGATTCTGGATTGCTGATTGAAGGTCAATTGCACACCAAATTTCAGATGAGATGAGTCAACCCCACTGACTGACAGAAGATATGTGTACGTTCATATATTTTTATTTGGACAAGAATCTTGGTGAGGCAATATCCAAATCTTTGGACCCTCTTTGGATTATCTCATCCCTTAATACAGTGCACATGAAAAACTAAATACAATCTTTAATAACCAATTATTAACCGCACCATTAATTTTCTATGATAACAAGGACGAAGGGTTAGGTCGATGTCAAGCAATAAACTAAAGGGTAAAAAAATAATTTGTGTAAAGACTTATTTTTGATATAAGCGGTATTAGAAAAATAAGAATTTGAATACGTGACCATGACCCCAAATATACGGGGAGGAACTGCTCATAATTATTTGAATTACAAGTCAATTTCATCATTATTTTGTGGAATAGTACAGCTTTTCAGATAGCTTATCATAAAATCATAATTTGCCGCCCATTTAATCAACATTTAGAAATATCACTGTCCTTGATATATCTATGGCAACCTCCGATCACACAATTTTGTTGTCGAAATTGAAGAAGATACAAAACCTGAAGAACCCAATCGAAATTCCAATTTTGCCCAGCAATTTTAAAACCCACCAAAAACTCTCTGGAGTCATGACCACCACGTTCCCCTACTCTACTGTCCCTTCTCCTGGGACACGCAAGTCATTGTAGTAAAACCCAAGGGCAGTCCAGGTAATTTGTCCATCTTCAAACACAATGATTTCTATATTGTAGCCTTGTAGCAAAGAATGGCTTGCAGAGTTGGCAATGTCCCCTTTCTCTTTCCCATCCAAACGACACAAAAACACTCACACACACAGAGCACAGTCCCTCTCGGCAGTTAAGCTGCTCCAATCTCCCCACCTACTCTCTCTCTCTTCAGTTCTCTTCATTTATTCATTTTCATTCCTTCATTCTCTTCATTGTATTGTATGTTGAAGGTTAAAGCTTGAAGCTTTGTTTCTGTGATATGAAAACAATTTATCAGAAGCTTAGAGAAAGCTAAAGAAAATCAGCTCAGAGTGTACTGAAAGATGCCTCTGGTGAGGTTTCAGGTGAGGAACGAGTACAGCCTGGGCCAGCCTCAGCTGTACAAAGAGGTGAACAGAGAAGATCCCAAAGCTGTGCTCGATGGGGTGGCCGTTGCTGGCCTCGTTGGGATCTTGCGCCAATTGGGCGATCTTGCTGAGTATGTTGCCCTTTCTTTTTTTACTCCTTTTCCCTCACGCAGTTCATTTCTTACTACCCTTTTGCGTTCTATTCTATTTTTGTGTCTATTGCTCTATCTGGGTTCAGCTCATTCACTCTTCATTTTATTGTTTACTACTTTTGGGGTTGCAGTTCTGTTGTATAAGTGAATAAAATTTGGTCATTTCTGTGATTGGGAAATTGGGTTTTCCGTAATGATCATTATTTCTTAAATAGATGACAAATTATTGGTAATTTCATTTTTTTTCTTTTTCTGCTAAACGCTGTGAGCTTATAAGTTGAAGATAGGTGTTCTTTTGGTTGCTCTTTATTTCATGATGCCTCACAGCAGTATAGGGAGATTTGGTGTATGCAATATCACTTTCCCAAGGCTTTTGACATTAATTAATGAGAAAGCTCTGGATCCTCAAGTCTTTCTAGGTTTCTGTGATTATGGTGTTTATATCATAGCAAAATAAGGTAGCCTTGTGCTGCAGCTACTCTGTTGTTGGTATAATGTAAGCATTTATAATGGTCAATCAGCCTCAATTACCTGTTGCAAACGACCTTTACTATTGTGGCCATTTTGGGCACACTTGGATGCTGCAAAATTGTTCTATATCATTTAGATTAGTGGACTGATATTTTAGTTTCTTTTCAAATGAAAATGGCACTAAGAAACTGCAACAAAATCTCACTATACAAAGATATGTCTTATGTTTAAGTAGCATTGACAACATGACTGAAGAAGTTTTAACCTTAGTTTACTCCCCTAAGATAAAAGTAGTTGAAAGTTTGTGGTTGGCTGGAGATTCCTGTCTCCTGTTCCTAGTGGAATCTCCTCAAGTTGGGTGGAATGCCAAAATGTGAATTTTGGATATCTGATATAGGCGATCAAGTCTAAAATGTAGAGCGCAACAAGCATAGTGATTGTTGGTTTATCACAATTCTTAAATGCATAAACGGTTCGAATGTAGGTTAACAATTTTTCGTATATTCTAAGTTATATACTAACTCAGAAAGTATCTGTAACATGTAGGTTTGCAGCGGAAGTTTTTCATGGCTTGCAAGAGCAAGTGATGACTACAGCTTCTAGAAGCCAAAAACTGATGGTTCGTGTGCAACACATTGAAGCTGCACTTCCTCCCCTTGAGAAGGCTGTACTTGCTCAAACAAGCCACATACATTTTGCTTACACCTCTGGTATGGATTTTGTTCCTCACCTTGATGTCTGCACACCATATGCCAGTTATTGACAACTCGTATCAACAGACTTCGTTCTCTCTAGTGCAAACTGCTCTTCATTTTGTTTAATAAATGCTTCAGGTTCGCATAAAGTTTATACTTATGATGGGAATATAATGTATAATGTATGATGTAAAAATTGAATTATCTATGGTCAGTTTTAGTTCAGTGAGCTATTTAAGAAACAGATATTGAAGCTTAAAATAATCCTTAAAGGAAAGTCTAAAAAGATAGCATTTAGTGCAAGTATTCTTTTTCTTGTCTTCAATGCCTTGTAAATGAGAGGACTCGGGTTATCTTTTCCATATAAAGTTGATTTAATTAATCTTATATTAAAGTATTAAAAAAATCTTATATTAAAAATATCTCGGAAACCTTGAAGAACATTACTTGCTGGCCATAGAGGCAATCTAAATATATTCATAAAACCATGGAACAGCATTCTATAGACTGTTAATTGTGAAGGGCTTACTCCAGTGCAAACCTTTCATGATTGACCCTGTTTTATATTTTCTTTATTGCGGAGATAAATTTTTTATATACTCCTATATCCCGTTGGTGCCACATCATTATCCTGATAATCAAATAATTAATAGAAAGCAGTTTCTTTGCAGGTTTAGAGTGGCATCCTCGTATTCGAAATGAGAAAAATCATTTCATCTACAATGACTTGCCACGTTTTATTATGGATTCATATGAAGAATGTCAGGATCCCCCACGTTTGCACTTGCTTGACAAGTATAATCTAAATCTTTCCTTTACCTTAATTGGCTTACAAGTTGTGAAGTTTTACTTTCTAGCATAATTGTTAAATGATGGAATCTTTTCCTTTAACGTTCAGGTTTGATACCGGCGGCCCAGGATCTTGTTTAAAGAGATATTCAGATCCAACCTTTTTCAAAAAAGCATCAGCTAACCCGGATGAAGCAAATGTTGAACAAGTCCGAAGATCTAGAAAGGGTAAAAGAAGCAAGGTATGCACCTACATTTTGAAGAAACACAGTGAGTAAATGTTAACCATTATCAGTAGAGGCTATATAATAGTGTACTCAAAGAATGCCAATTAAGCACAAGTTGCAACCTATTGCCAACCCATCCTGACCCAACTTTTATTAGTTTGGGTTTTGGGTTGTGAAAAATCACAACCTAGTAACTTTGGGTCGGTACTTAATCCACTGCAACCCTTGCCTGCCCCTAGACATTAGTGCTTCATTCCAAGCTGCGAATCTGTATATCTTACTTCAACCAATTTTCTTTGTGCTTTCATGTGCAATATTGTGGATGAATTTGGCTCCAAAGTTTTCTTAAGGAAGATAGATGCAGGCATATAAGATTCATTGATAAGATCATGAAGTACAATGAACTCTCACATAAATTTCTTCTTGACAAGAGCTTGTTTTTCTGCTATCTGTTTTTATGCAATAATTTATTGGATTATCAATCTTTTAAGTACCTCAATGGTTCTGTCACTTGGAGTTGTCTGATTAAAAATTTTGAAATGGACAGAAGAAAAGAGGATCACAACGAAATGGAGATGTATTACGTGGTGCATCAGTATCAAATCGCAGCAGCAGGTATCCTATATGTTAATACACACACATACATATACATAGAGGCATTCTCTGGTACGGTCAACCGCATCAGAGAAAGATCTTACATGCACATATGCATAATATATACGTGACTTATGGCTCCCAGTTTTGACTAAAGGGAACTAAAAAATTTAAAATGTCTGACTATGCAGAATGCAATATATTCCTCCTATCGCAAATGGGCAAAGCTCATCTTCTCCAACTGCCTCCACAGCCGACATGGCATTAAAATCTGACCTGGGGGACAATTCCATTTCTTTTGATTCAAAAACTGAGTCAGAATATATTGAGTATGCTGCCCATCCAAGTTCCTCCCTACAAGCTGAAGAACAAGAATCCAAGGAATCGCCTTCTTCTAAATCGGTGCAAAATGACGCTCTTAATTCTGTTTTGCCTGATGATCAAACTGGATTTGTAGATAACTCTCCTGGAAGTTCATTACAGGACCAAGTTACCTCTGGTTCATCTGGTGTTAACTGGGATGAGAAGGTAGAAATAGTGGATCCTAAAGGTCAACAGAATTGTATAGATGAAACTACAGAGATGCTCCTGACAAAGGATGACTTGGATGCAAATGAAGGAGGAGCTGGTAGCTTTAGAATTGTTGAGCAAATGGATGTCCTCTTTGATGATGAAAACATTCTGGAACCAAACAGGATCCAGATTGATGAAATTGAAAGTGAACCAGACAATTTCATGGATGCACTTAACACCATTGAATCAGAATCTGAAAACGATCTTGATTGTCAAACCAAACGAGAAGTGGAACATTTTGCTTCTGTTGTTAACAATAAAGGACCAGATGGAGTGCATGAGATTACCATGGATTGTTCGGATCATCAAACTCCAACTTTAGAATCTCATACTGCAACATCTTATGTTTCCTCGGAAGAAGAAACGCCGACAGATCTATCGAACTCAACCTCACCAGAGTGTCCAGCCCATAAACAGATGCCTCAAATAGCTACAGAACTGTCTAATTCAGATCACATTGTAGAAACAAATAGGACTGACATTTTTGATTGTTTAAGGTTAGAATCTGTTAGTGGTGATTCCACATCATCTGGCTCTGGAACTACTAATGCGCAGGAGAAGACCATAAGCAGTTTATGTGAGGCTCAAAAATCTCCTGCTGACGTTTCCAGGAATAATTCAACATCCTTTGGCTCTGGAACTACTAATGAGCAGGATGATCTCATAAGCAGTTTATGTGAGGCTCAAGAATCTCCTGCTGACATTTCCAGGAATAATACAACATCCTTTGGCTCTGGAACAACTAATGAGCAGGATAAGATCATAAGCAATTTATGTGAGGCTCAAGAATCTCCTGCTGACATTTCCAGGAATAACACAACATCCTTTGGCCCTGGAACTACTAATGAGCAGGATAAGATCATAAGCAGTTTATGTGAGGCTCAAGAATCTCCTGCTGACATTTCCAGGAATAACACAACATCCTTTGGCCCTGGAACTACTAATGAGCAGGATAAGATCATAAGCAGTTTATGTGAGGCTCAAGAATCTCCTGCTGACATTTCCAGGAATAATACAACATCCTGTGGCTCTGGAATTTCTAATGCGAAGGATAAGATCATAAGCAGTTTATGCGAGTCTCAAGAATCTCTTGCTGACATTTCCAGGAATAATTCAACATCCTCTGGTTCTGGAACTGCTAATGCGAAGGATAAGATCATAAGCGGTTTATGCGAGTCTCAAGAATCTCTTGCTGACATTTCCAGGAATAATTCAACATCCTGTGGTTCTGGAGCTGCTAATGCGAAGGATAAGATCATAAGCGGTTTATGTGAGTCTCAAGAATCTCTTGCTGACATTTCCAGGACTAATTCAATAAATTTCTGGACTAATGGAGGCCTGTTAGGACTTCAGCCATCAAAGCCTCCTGATTTTACCATGTCAAGTCCTGTAACTCAAGATTCTGCTTACAGAAGCACTGAGACAGTTGGTGTCTCAAATCATGCTTACACGCTTATAGCTGATGAGCATGAAGCTGAGAATGCTGGCTGCAAGGAAATAAGCTCTGATTATCAAGAAGATGGTATCTCTGCCAAGGAAATATCCAAGGGATTTTCACCCACTGAATTGTATCCAAAGCTTGGAAATACTGGTGACTCTCTTAAGAGTAATGTATTTAGCTATTGCATGGAGGATGGTTCGAAGAAAACCAATACGACGGAACCTGGAACTATGTTGCCCGTTGCTCCATGTGGCAAATCCACTTCCAATGAAGCGAATCAGGAGAATGATGAAAACTCTTCTCTGGTTTTTGGGCTTGGCCGTAGGTTACTTGTGAATGGTTTTGGTAGAAAAGTTCCACATTCGCACGATGACAAATCTGAGCCTGCTAGTTATTCAAATGCTGGTGTATTGGACCAGAGAAATGAGCACCACAGAGTAGAGCACCAAGCATTTCCCAACACATCCTTCAAAGAGAAATTTGAGCATGGATTTGCTGTTGAATCACCTCCTTCTTCACCACCACTTGAACATATGAAAATATCTTTCCATCCCATGAATGGCATTGAAACTTCCATACTCAAATTGAAATTATCTGATGGGAGTCAAAGCCATGGAAGTGTAAAAGACATGTTTCAGTCATTTCAGTTGGTCCCAGGGCCTTCTATTCCTCTGCATGAATTTGGTTCTGATTCTGATGATGACACATTCTGTAGATCATCTCCATATATATCAGATGATTGTCTTAGCCATCTCTCTGAGTCGAATTCTGAACAATGGGAATCTAGTGAAACTCCAGAATGCAAGAACCATGACCTATACGATGCTTTGTGTGCAATCTCATCAGCTGAACGTATATCCACCTCTCTGGAAATAGGGGGAATATCCCACAATGCCGCTTATGGAGATGGTGGAATTCAAAGTGTGCACACTGATAATGGTCTGGAACATTCTCTCTCTGATCCTTTACTTGATCTTCCAAGTTTAGATGCTTTGGAACCCGTACTTCAGCAAGAAGCAAAGGATGATTCAGTTCCTAAGGATCTTCATGGTTTGAAATGTTCGGGGGATTCTACACCAGGACCACCACCTCTCCCTCCAGTGGAATGGCGTGTTTCAAAACCTACCTTAAATGTAACGGACGAAAAACAAGATGTATCTGAAGGTTTTAAACACGTATTCGACACAGAGATTTTGGGGTCTATCACCCTCCAGCAACCTAAGCCAGCCCCAGCTCAGCAACAACAAATAAATGAGGAGTCCATTTCTATTCAACCGAAATGCAAGGTATCATGTCATGCAATTTAATCCTGTTTTTAAGGCATGAAAGGTATTCAAATAAAAATAGTGGGAAGTCAAAACTGCGGAAGGACGTATTATCAAATTTTTCTTGCTGCAGCAGGACCAGCACGTGAATGGACAGAAAGAAGCTGATCAGGCTCTAAATGGCAAAGGGATAGACGAAAAGGAAGATTTTCTACAACAAATCAGAGCAAAGGTGAGTGACCATTTTTTCTTGTCATTTGGCTTGCTTCCCAAAACCCTAAAAGTCACTTTGTCTATGTATTGAAGTGTTTCATATTCATATGTAAAATGTGCCAAATGGAGATTTTTCTAATCTCTGCTTTTTGTGAATTGAAAATAAAATCAGTTTTTTTCGAAATAGACATCTACTACATCGGATCCACATAATCTCTATTTACTTAGAGCATGTCTATGATTGGTCATGTTTGTAAGTATCTTGATAGATTGATTTTATCTTGTAATAAAGCTTGTCTTTCAATCAGTTGCTTTCACTTTTCTAATCACTAAATGTTTAGTCTGTGATTAGGGTATAGTAAGTAACAAAGTAAACTATCCGCCAACTCTCTGCTTATTTGTTGTTATGTCCTTCCAGTCATTCAACCTGAGACGCACAGTACCAGCAAAGCCAACCATCACACCGGTACCTGCTACCAATGTCAAAGTAACTGCAATTTTGGAGAAAGCCAATGCCATTCGCCAGGTTCCCCATTGTCCTATATCCCTTTTTCTTTCGTTTGTCTTTTGTTCATTTGTGTATAAGTATCACGATGCAATCAAATTGACAATTTAGAAAAACTTGTCAGGCTGTTGGGAGTGATGAAGGGGAAGACGACGATACATGGAGTGATGCTTGATTTGGCCATGGTTATGCCAGCCCACGAGAAACAATCCTCTTGCTGGTTGGAGTTCACAAAGTTGGCCAAGGCTGTGTTATATATGTATATGTGATTAATTTCAGTTTCTTTCTGTAATTAAGTGTAGGGGCTAATCTTGTATCGATCCATTGCAGTAATTTTGATTGATTCCTTTTAGGTAGAAAGATGAGATAAGTTGTCAGGTTGAGCATGATCTTCTACATATTTGAGGCAATCATTTATACAAAAAATGCCATAATATGCCTCAATATATATATTTGCTGTTCCTTGAACACTCGTTTATAGATCTATTCTTTTTGCACCGCAAGTTTGCTGTACTGATTCATTTTGTATCCGTGTATGCCGATGCTTTTCATAATTGAGATTAATGAAGCTTAAGCAAACCATTTATTCGAATATGACAATCGATTATTTTTATTTCCATATGTCCGTTAGTTCCCTGCAATACATCAGTCCATCAAATTTGATCGAGTCATTTGCTTCACAACCAGGAATCATGGAGAAAATAGCCGTCGTATGAATTAAGAATGTCTAAGTTAAGTTGAGCAAAGTAGATGTGGGGTTTTGTTGGTTAAAAAGTAGTGAGTCTGCCTTTTGCACTTAAGATCGAATTCCCGTAAAAAAAAATTTGACAAAGCCTAAAGCCTCGAGATTCTACATATTTGAGGCAATCATTTATACAAAAAATGCCATAATATGCCTCAATATATATATTTGCTGTTCCTTGAACACTCGTTTATAGATCTATTCTTTTTGCACCGCAAGTTTGCTGTACTGATTCATTTTGTATCCGTGTATGCCGATGCTTTTCATAATTGAGATTAATGAAGCCTAAGCAAACCATTTATTCGAATATGACAATCGATTATTTTTATTTCCATATATCCGTTTTTTTTTTTTGGTCATAAATTTTCCATATATCCGTTAGTTCCCTGCAATACGTCAGTCCATCATATTTGATCGAGTCATTTGCTTCACAACCAAGAATCGTGGAGAAAATAGCCGTCGTATGAATTAAGAATGTCTAAGATAAGTTGACCAAAGCAGATGTGGGGTTTTGTTGGTCAAGGTAATGAGTCTGCCTCTGGCACTTAAGATCGAATTCCCGTAAAAAATATTTGACAAAGCCTAAGAATCGTGGAGAAAATAGCCGTCGTATGAATTAAGAATGTCTAAGATAAGTTGACCAAAGCAGATGTGGGGTTTTGTTGGTCAAGGTAATGAGTCTGCCTCTGGCACTTAAGATCGAATTCCCGTAAAAAATATTTGACAAAGCCTAAGAATCGTGGAGAAAATAGCCGTCGTATGAATTAAGAATGTCTAAGATAAGTTGACCAAAGCAGATGTGGGGTTTTGTTGGTCAAGGTAATGAGTCTGCCTCTGGCACTTAAGATCGAATTCCCGTAAAAAATATTTGACAAAGCCTAAAGCCTCGAGTTTTAAGATGGAAACTATTAGCTATGCAGCTTAATTAAGTAAACCTGTAAACGGATTGAATATGGATCGAATTAGCTTGGATTAGCTTGTAGGCTACAAGACTAATTATGTTGAAATAAAAGCAGAAACGTGAAACGTACGACTATTTTAATACATAAACAAAAATGAGTACATGCAGATGCAGTGTGAGAAAAACTCTCTGTAAAATTCCTGTCGTATTCAAATTGAACAACATTATTGCGTTTCCAATTGAGACACTTCAGCTGAAGACTTTATCAATATCTCTCTTCTTCTTCTTCTTCTTCTTCTTCTTCTTCTTCTTCTTCTTCTTCTTCTTCTTCTTCTTCTTCTTCTTCTTCTTCTTCTTCTTCTTCTTGTTTTTTTTTTCCCTTCTTCTTTTCGTTTTAGAAAAACCCATCAATATAATATCTCCACAACTTCATATATTAATTAATTAATCCAGTGCTGGGCTGGCATTGCAGCCTCCAACCGGCACACTGATTGAAATTAGTAAATTTAATCTATGTTATATAAATGAATAAGGAAAGAAGACTTTCTTTTCCATTTTATTAAAGCAACTTGATTACGAATTATTTAAATAAATAAAAAAAACATAACAGCCAACAATAAGCTATACTTTGTACTTAATCTTTCCAACTCACCCCATATTATCTTTAATTTAAAAAGATACAATAACACGAGAAATATGACAAACTAGTCTTTGATCTACTGAAGTTGTCTCCACTTGATTGAAAGAGAATTCGATAACGATATATATTTATTACGAGCCTGATAATAACTCGGAATATGTGAGTGAGATGTGCAGAGGGTCACATGCCAGTGTAACAGCTAATTGAAAATTTCTATTTTTGGAGGGGAGGGTAGAGAGGGGGAAAAATTATATACACACATCCACTTGATATTCAACCTGGATCTCACTATTCTTAATCAGAGAAGAGATGCTATTAGTTTCCAAAGTAAGCTGAATTTTGCCTGTCAAATGCAAATTGCCTTGGACTAATTGATGGAATAATAAGAAGTGCAACTTCTAAAGAAAAAAAATAATTCCAATAATATTCTGCTGATGATCTCTTCTCTTTATATGCAGTAAGAAGGCAGTTATACCCCTAAAAAGGGGTGCCCCAACTATGAAAAAGATGCACTAAAAATCACTTTGTTCTTTACATATATCCTTTTAAGCTTTTGATTAAAAGAGACTTTGAAAGCATCGGCATCAGGAAGAAATATTGCATGCATTTCTAAGTAAAAGTGTTGGAAGAATTGTGCTACTTTGTCGACATCGTATAATTTAGAAAGAAAGAAGAAAAAAAAAGTGTTGGAAATGAGGCTGCTTCTTTTGCATTAACTAAATAAAGATTCCTTTATTAAAGAAATCCCATTTCAGATTACTTTTTCATCATAATTGCAAACTGAAAGCAGCCCGGACCACATTGTCCACAACCCTACAATGTCAAAGTGTGATGAAAAGGAAGCAACAAAGTTAATCATCAAATCCATTGAAACCTGAAAAGATGGCTTTGAAACAAAGTGTTTAGCAATAACATTAATACAAGTATCTTACTTTAATTAATTTTATGTAAGGGAGAAATTATCGAATACTACGGTAGTATGATCACGTGGTACATTTTGTACAAGTGTTATAATATGGGTGAACCACAAGGTTTACTTTACTCCCCTTGCAAGAGGAATATATGCTAATTAAGCTCCCTGCTGGCAGAATCTGACTGGACAAAACTCATTCAAGTCAGGCATGTGTATAGTTTCTTGTTTTCCTTTTTCTTTTTCTTGCTAAGACATGTGTATATATTTATATATCAAAATAATTCATTTTAGATCTTAAAAGTGATTGCTGATGATATTTGGATGTAAAATACTGTAAATGGCACCTTTTGATATCATTTTAGCACCATATCATTAGTGCCACTGAGAGCAAATTAGGCACAATTTGCAAAAGTTGGTTTGGGGTGCATGCATGAATTGTAGCCCTTTAACTTTAATTGCCCTCCATGCTAATACTTAGCTAGCTTTAAGACCACTTAACCTAACCATAATCTTTTTTTTTTTTCTCCTTTTCTCTTTTCTTAGAAAGTATAAAGTTCCATATAGAGCTTCACCAATACCGCTTGCAAATTAGATATGGTCTTGATTATCCATTTACTTTATGGAAAATATTTCCCTCTTTATCATGTAAGTAGAAGTTCCTACATTCCTATCAATAATAGTGTGACATATGTGCATATGTTTTTCTTTTTGTATTTTTGATGAATTATTTTTTGCATAGGTGTCAAACTGGGAGATAGAGTATCCTCTTATAGAGAAGGAGGCAAGCAATATCCTTATTTTATAAATCAACCAAAAGCAAATGCCCAAAATGCATGGAGATTTCTCAAAGCAAAATAAGAAGGCTTTTAGCTTTATCACTTTTTAAAGGAAAAAAAAAAACCTTTATTGGCTAGAATATGTACACAACTACAACTACTTTCATTAGCAACATGCTTTATCTCTCTTTATGCTCCCATTACCACTGACACTTTGTACGCGACCTCCCTGGACTGGGACCCACTAACTCCACGATGATGACGTGGAGTAATGATGTGTACAAAAAGCTCATCCTCAACTTTGCCAAAGCCAACCTACCTGGCTTCTTGGCGGCTGTCACATGGTTTTCTTACAATCCTGCTTTTAATTTAAGTACTTTTGATCCCCTCATTTAATTCTATAAATACACAAGCACCAGCACAACCCCCTCCTTAAACCATACAATACAAAGTGTATGTCTCTCAAACTCTAGACCATATCTCAATCTCTCTCTCTGTTTGTGTGTCTTCCTATCTCTCATGGCTGAGGTCCAAAACGGCCAAGATGTCCCGGGAATTAAGCTATTCGGAACAACGATTACATTGCAAAACAGATCACAAGTAAAAGAAGAACCCAAGAAAGCTGATCAAACAGCGGAGAAGAGGCCGGATAGGATCATACCATGCCCAAGATGCAAAAGTATGGAGACTAAATTTTGTTACTTCAATAACTACAACGTTAACCAGCCAAGACACTTCTGCAAGGGATGCCAGAGGTACTGGACAGCTGGCGGGGCTCTACGGAACGTGCCCGTCGGGGCCGGTAGACGGAAAACCAAGCCGCCGTGTCGAGGGCTGGTCGGATACCCAGAGGCTTGTATATACGAGGGTTCAGAGGTGGTGCACCGGTTTGAGTTGGATGGGGTTATGGAAGAGTGGCACGTGGCTGCAGCACAAGGCGGTTTTCGCCAAGTTTTCCCAGTGGTGAAGCGGCGGAGGAGCGGCTCAGGTGGTCAAACATGCAGCTGATGTTCTCAGAAATTCTTTCACCATATCCATATATTATTAATTTCAAGAAATTGAGAAACGAATATAATGTGTATTGTGTTGTTAGCTTAATGGTAATGATGTATATACAAATTGGTAATTAATCAATTAATCCTTATATTTATATAATATGAAATGGTATTTCTATCATAAAGAATCGTTCAGGAAAGCAAAAGAAAACACAAAAACTAAGGTGGAATCAAACTCAATTATGCCAATGAGGTCATAGGTAGGGAAAGTTCTTCTGTTTGTAGAGCACCATAATTAATATTATTCTATGAGGGCCTAGGAAAGTTGACCATTTACAAAGTGGACGGATAAGATTGGCTGCGTGGCGACAAAACTTAAAACAGGGACGAGGTATGAATTACAAGCTACCTAGGTGCGGGTTAGGCCAGTAGACCAAGGCAGTGTGTCCGCTCCCTCTGTCCATAAATTAGAATAATCTTAAATATCGCATTTGTGAACATAAAATAAAATGTATTTGAGCATGAAGGAAAAATAA